CTGATGTCTCCATGGTTCTGGTCTGTGTTACATGTATTTTTATTTTATTTATTAGCTTCATGCATTGTGGTTTTACAGTAGCTGTATGAGTATGGCTTACTTTATGAAGGACCAACTCTGCCATATTTAAAAATAAATACAGAAATAAATAAATGCTCAAATGTATAAGCATACAATTAATTGCCAACAAAAAAGTGAGACATAAATGTATATAACTCTTAATTTGCTTCTTTATTTATTTGCCTTTGTAATATTTACCTTATTTTTCTGTCCTTTATAATCTTCAACTTTATTTTTTAATTACTTATATTTTTAAGTATTTATTTATGAGCATGTTATAATATTTTTGTCTGTTTTATTCTTCCATTGTATTTTTTTACCTTAGTTATTTCTTCGCCGCTGTTTTTTCTCACTGCCCTTTTACATTTCTCTCTGCCCTTTTTACATTTCTCTATGCATTTCTATGTCATTATGCAAATGAGGAGGGGGGGTGTCCTAGAGAGTCAACTTCTGCTCATTGGTTGGCTTGGCTGTCCATCTTCTTAACTCACAGAGCTCAGAGTACTAAGTTAAATGTTCTCATTTCTGTTGCTGTTGTTCAATAAAAGTACGTTTTAAGATCATTTGAGGCGAGAATATTATACTTTTAAGCATCACCATATGGCCCATTCACAGATTTAATGCGTAATTTAAAAGAAAATGTGACGAACTTGAGAGGACCGCGGCACCAGCGGAGCTCCGAAGCTGACGGCAGCCAGGTCCGACCACAGCCCATCTGCAGCGGCCCTCTCTCGGCATAACCGTGTGTGAAGCGTGTTGGTTAGCATTTTACTACATCGGTCGAATCTACAGGAGGAGAGTCTGATGTCGAGTCTGAAGTCAGAACTTGAGTAGGGACTTTGCCAAATACAACAAAAAATCGCCATCATAGCCTGGCTATAGACCTGGCTGCCGTCAGCTTCGGAGCTCCGCTGGTTGCCACGGTCCTCAAGTTCGTCACATTTTCTTTTAAATTACGCATTAAATCTGTGAATGGGCCATATGGTGATGCTTAAAAGTATAAGGTTCTCGCCTCAAATGATCTTAAAACGTACTTTTATTGAACAACAGCAACAGAAAAGAGAACATTTAACTTACTACTCTGAGCTCTGTGAGTTAAGAAGATGGACCGCCAAGCCAACCAATGAGCAGAAGTTGACTCTCTAGGACACACCCCCTCCTCATTTGCATAATGACATAGAAATGCATAGAGGAATGTAAAAAGGGCAGAGAGAAATAAACAGCGGCGAAGAAATAACTAAGGTAAAAAAATACAAAGGAAGAATAAAACAGACAAAAATATTATAACATGCACATAAATAAATACTTAAAAATATAAGTAATTAAAAAATAAAGTTGAAGATTATAAAGGACAGAAAAATAAATAAGGTAAATATTACAAAGGCAAATAAATAAAGAAGCTAATTAAGAGTTATATACATTTATGTCCCACTTTTTTGTTGGCAATTAATTGTATGCTTATACATTTATTGAGCATTTATTTATTTCTGTATTTATTTTTAAATATGGCAGAGTTGGTCCCTCATATTACTTAAAGTATGCGCTTCCTACTTCAAACCCCCATGATTTTAATCTCTGCAAACACTTCAAAGATTTTTGTCAGTTTGTTTCTTTTCTTTCCACATTGATGTACCACAATTTATATATCTATCTTGCTGAATCCTAATAAGATGCACTGAGTTTCTCAAAGTAATGAGACAAAATGTGGAACATTTACGGGGTGCGAATACTTTTGCTAAGTGCTAAAGTAAGGCTGTAGTGCTCTGTCTTTGGTGTAGACCTATTGAAGTTGGTTCCACCCTTCCACCTGTGTTTTCTTTGAAGCCAGGAGGTTCTGGAATGTGGGGAGGGTAATGAAAATTTCTATTTTTCCTCAGCAGGAAATAAAACTCTAAGGAGGCCAGTTTAAGGAATGTCAGATCAAAGGGTGATGAGTAAATGCTTTATATGAACCCGAGGCATCCATCCATTTTCCATCACGCTTATCCCTGGGAGGGTCGCAAGGGGTGCTGGTGCCTATCTCCAGCTGTCTAGGGGCGATAGGTGGGGTAGACCCTGGACAGGTGAACCCAAGGCAATAAACATGAAATCAACACAATGTAGAATAGCTCTATATGCAATCTATGTGAAATTATAAACATAGGCCAAAATATATTTGTAACTTTAAGCTGAGAGGAGGAATTAACATGACCGTCAACACACCCTACACCTTTTTCCCACGCTTCCAGGTCAGACTAGATCTTAATGGGTTAATCCAGCTGCTTTAGCCGTGCCTCTGAGGATGAAACACATAACTTTCAGAGGGCAGCAAACTCGTAATCAACTTAGAAATCTAACAAATTAATAGACATACGAAAACACACGCCGATCTCTTTTGTAGAACAGTTTAAAAGCTTTGCGTCATTTTAAGTTTCTGCCACTAGGAGCTAATTTAGCCTCTCAAACTCAAGCTTTGGAGCTATCTGATCATTTTATAATCCTTCCTGCAGGCAGCTGTGGTATTACTCAACAGGCAATTTCTGAGGGCTCAGGCTGCACTAACTCTGGGCCTCTCTCCGGTCACAACGCTGCCAAGAAGAACAGTGTGTGAGCGCATGGGCGTGCGTGCACTACTGCAGGAAACATCTCATAAAGAGGCAGGCTTACTGCTTTTGTTTGAACCTATTTGTTAATCGTGGTGAGGTTTTACATGCTGTTCCCTTTGAATGTGGTGCTGAAGTGGACCGTGCAGGAGAAGAGACAAAGTTGAAGATTTATTGGTGGAATATGAAGTCAAATTTGTGTGAATGTATTTCAGACACAGGGGAGCAAAAGAGCAACTTATAAGAGACGAATAATATCAAATCCAATCAAATACCTCCACAGCTATTAATAATGTCTCTGATATTCTGACACAGCTTCCTTTCAGGCGTCAGGTGAACTGTGATATATTTCTTGTGTAACAGAGTAAGTATGCAAGACTCTGCAGAAATGGTCAAATCCCCCCATTCTTACAGAGTAATTAGCATTTCTAAGAATAAACCTATTGTGAATTTCTTTCTTCACTCTACATTATCCACTTCTCGCCTTGAACTGCGGCCCAATGACAATCTAGAGCAAAGGGCTGCAGGCAGGCAGGCACCTTCCTGTTCCTCGTCTCAGAGTGGGCAGAGTGAGGAAGCCTCAGGGTTCTCTCATAGGGCTCTTTCAGATCCTGAGGGAGCAAAAAAATAAATCTATCCAGGAACTCCAGTTAACATATTGAATTAGCTTTAAGGGGGAAACTTTTCCATACCTTTCAAAGTTTAAGGTTATGCTGCTCTGCTAGAGTAGAGTGTGAGTCAGGCACCTGCTGAACTTGTGGCCCCAGACTGCTGTGACGCTGAGCAGCAGCCTCATTATCACCTCGTAGGGAAGCTCTGAAGTCACAGGCCAACGCACTGCGTGCAGGTTAGAGCTTGTGACGGGCAAATAGGTGCTATGCTATTATCCGAAATGCCTCATGACAATAAAACAAGTCTGTGGCCCCCTGCTGAGTTCTAGCATCCTGCCCTAATAATATATGATTATGTGTGACAGTGCAGAAAGCATCTGTAGTTAAGGTAGAACTGGGTCATTAATGCTATAGCTGGTGTTTGGGTAATGATGGCTGCTGAAACTCTCCTCAACATTTAATTACCACCTAATTATCCCCCTCTGAAAAGTTCTATGGCCAGGACTTCCACTTTGAAGGTTCATTTTCTTTCTTGCAGATTCAGCTCTTTTCATTTTGACAACTCTAGATAAAATACAGCGTTTAATTGAAGAAAAAATCTAGAACAGCTGTATTTATAGACAACACATCTCACAGATCATTTTTTCCTATTCATACAGCCAACCTATTCATCCTGCATAAGTTTGTTTATAGGCAAAAAAAATGTTTTTCCTTGTAAGAAAAATCTAATTGATCAAACTTTAAAAAACCCTCTCTATTAGATACAATGTTTTTTTCTCCTTTCAGGCTTAAGAGCAGAAAGATTTTTTAAGATTATTATTATATACAAAAGATATATACATATTTTCATCATATAAGTAAAATAAAAATGAGGGTAATTTGTGGCGTTCAACAATTTCCCCCCTTTTTAATGTTGTCATTCTGTTGTGAAAAAAAAATCTCTCTATATAAAAGATGAATAAGAACTGCTAGTATCTGCTTTTTTAGGTTTCTACAGTAAAATAATCCTAATTCTTTTTTTATATATATATAATTTCTGGTTGTTATTATTACTATTATAATAATAAACTGCTTTGGAAAGTCTAAAGATGTACAGGTTACGGTGGCTGACCTAAACTAACAAATCAAAGAAGGAAACCTTTAATATGAAGCAGGCAGGAGACCCATGGGATCCACAACCCAATACTGAACAAAATCATTAAAAGATGTTACCATCATCACCACCATCATGTATCAAAGTGGGACATGATGGTGTCAGTATTACCTTATGTGAAAGCCTTTTTTAAGACTAAAAAAAAGCTGATTAGATGGTTAGATGTTATGAGAAGATAGGTGAAGCTGTGACAGAGTTGATACTGAGGCAGAGGTTCATCTTCCAATAGGAAAACAAACCTTAAACATACATGTAGAGCTATGCTGAGGGTTAGATAAGTTCTATTTAGCTATTTTGCAAAGGAAAATGATTGTAACATTTTGATGTAGATGCAAGGCTGGTGGAGAGCTGATTTAGTAAATAATGTGGGGAATGGTGGGGGCTCATGAAGGGCTAAATGGAAATGCACTCCACACTTTTCAGATGTGCAACTGTGAAAAACTTTGAAGGGAACGCATCATTTGCTCTTTGCTTTGCACTGAATTCCATTAGACTGTGTTACTGTTTGGGATTAAGTTAAAGGTTTCTGTTCAGCTTTATAAGGCACCTTAAATGACTGTGACTTTCCTTATCCTGATGTTTAAGTTTGTATACCTTGAAGTCCACTGACAGCTGTGGGGTGTACTCCAGAGTCCACAGTGCTCGCACTACAGATGCCAGCTGCTCCGTGACCTCTCCTTTGGGGGGCCGCTTGTCCTCAGCCCCCAGCCCGTTCCCTCTGCTCTGCCTCAGGTCCAGCTTGTAGCGCTCCAGCCCCAGATACTCCGCCAGGAGATCGGTGTTACTCAGACACTGGACCACCGCGTTCAGGAAACAGGTGTTCCCGTGGTTCTTCAGCCCCAGGACGCCCGGGACTTTGTCTCCATACTGGTAAAGCAGCTTCTCTCTGCCGGCGCACAGAGATGAAGATGTGCTCGGAGGATGTTTGGCCGCTCTATCCCAAGCCGCCGGTGCATCCTCGGTGATTATCCCCGAGCTGGCGGTGAGGGTGCACGGTACGCCGTTCCCAAACCCACCGTCGTCGTCCTCCGCGTCCTGCGCGTCTCCGTCTCCAAAGTGGGTGAAAGTGCCCAAAGTTTTCTTGATTCTGTTCATAAAGCTCCCCACTGACTTTAGAGATTTCTTTCGGAAAAGCTTCCCAGATTTCGTTTTCTTCTCTTTGCTCTTCTCCTCCTTCATGTCCTCCTTGACTCTGGTTTGTTTCTCCATGACGGCACCTTTCACTCCCCCGTCGGTTTATTCTGACGCTGATGATCGAGCGAATACCAAGCCCAGACGCCCATTCCTCTGCCGGTGTCCCGATGGAGGATAGTTACGCGCACAGATGCGCCACTGTCTCGGAATCCGGAGACGGAACGGCGCGGCGTTGTTCCACGGCAAACCTCCCTCATCCATCCTGACACTTACTCAACGCCTTCATTCTGTCTCCTGCAGCTCAGCAGCGGCCGTCCTGCTCCAGCTGAGGCGCAACTTCTGCAGGAAAATGCCCACGCTGTGGCTGTGATTGTGGGACTGTTCCCTCCCACTTTCCAACAACAGGATAGAGATAAGGGATCCCTGAAATTCCTGCAGTGATTGGATTTTAGCTGCAGGATCCTCCCAGATTTTGGTAACAAAACACTAACCAAAATAAAAAGGTTAAGATTTGGAGTGAAAACATCAGTTTTCTTCTTTTCGTGATCAAAATGGATTGGATAAAATGCAATTATCGTTCATTTTACTTTTCAAAATAAACAAAATCCCTGGCAAAGTAAAGGTAGAAGTCCTTTTTTGTCTTCCATGGGCGCACAGTACAAGATAATAATAGGAAAAAGTAATAAAACAACAAAACAAAACAAAAAATAACAAGTTAATTGTTATTAACAACTTAATAGTTAATTGTTTAATATATAAAATGAGCCAAAGAGCCACATTTAGCTCTGGAGCTGCATCTTTCAAACCCCTGAATGTAGCAGTGATCCTATCCAAATATGGGATTAAGTGAAACACCTTGACTTATAAATCACTGTTTTTAGACTTTAGACAGATTTTATTTGTCATTTTGTTTACACAAGTGTAAAACAAAAAGAAATTTGTTTGAAAACAGTTCACTGGACAATTTCATCTTTTAAAAGTGCAGCCTTGAAAAATTGTACATTAACAGTTCTAACATTTTTTTAATTTAAAATTGTATTTAATTTAAAATTAAACTTAAATGTTATTGTATTTAAATTTTATTTATTTCATTGTTAAAAGTAAAACAGTAAAAGTACAAATATAATTACTTTTAAAAGGAACCCATCAGAAGTTCTCTGGCTGCACATATCATTATGAGAAATGGATTTTGTACTAAATCGTCAGTACAGGAGCCAAAGCAGTGGCCAGAACCAGTTCTACAGGGGGACTGGCAGCTAGAAACACCCATGAATACATCTCAACAACCATTTATGGAGTAAGATAATAAAAATGGATGCATAGGTGAAAGAATTTAGGATTTCCATTTGTTCCTCCCTGCTCATACATCCACAGGACATCAGATGCTTCTTCTGTTAGGATACTAGTTTAGAAGTTAAGAATAGAAGCTAAAACTTTGCAAAACTACAAGTAGAAACCTCAGATAGAGGCTGTACAGAGCTGGGAATGCCCAGGCTTCTATACACAGGGGAAACTAAGAAGCCTCTCCACAAATCTTAACACCTAAACCTCCGTGACAGAAGAACTCTTGAAGCACTATATGCTCATGATTTAGAAAGAAAAGAACTGTGGTTTTAGAGGGGACTAAAAGGAGCCTTTTATGTCAAATCAACTCTTAATGGAGGAGAATGCCTTAGATTATATATCTCCAAAACATACAACCCAGCACTGAGCCTGTTGACAATATACACCCTTCGGTGTCAAGCTAACAACAGCAGCAAGGGCGCCTGAATGTGAGGGAAGTCTTTAATCTGCATGTGAACTCCAATCTTCTCCCTCAGTAGTTCTGAACCGAGGAAAGCCTTCAGCTGAAGAGCAAAATCTCTATAAATACAAGAATGAAGGTTGAACTCAGGGAAAGACAGCAGGCGCAAATTGCCGTGGCAGTTGCTGCTGCCATGGCTCCAAAGGAGGTGCCAGTCGGCCTGCCGCTAATTTCCATAACCTGTCGTGGCCTGGGAGCAGTGGCAGCGGCATCTGCCACTGGTTTCTATGGCCTGCCATGGCCGTGAAGTGGGTGCCAGACAGCACTGCTGTCTACTATGGCATCTTCTGGCATCCTGTGGCGTCTTTTTGTCCAGGGAATTCTACTGAGTACCAGCATGTTTTTAAGTGATTTATTTTTTCTGTAACAGCTCACTCACTAAACCAACTGTTTGTGCAGTGAGTCTTTACCATCCTTTCTGCATGTCATATACATACCATGCTATTAGAAGTATGCAGTCACTATATCTTGCGTCTAACACTTTTTATTAATCCAAAAACACTAATTACACCATCAACTGAAAGTACTTATTTACTAACAATCAGTAGCTCATAACTACCCTGACATCCCGTCTGATAGAGGTTTGGCAGATGGCCTGCTGGCTTGGTGACACCGTGTGGCAGGTGGCTGGCAAAGTTCCATAAACTTCTATTAGAAATAATATAAATTAAATATGAATATTTGGAAGTAGATATAGACTTACAGGCGTCTATAACAAATAGTTTGCCCAAAAACAGCAGCAGCATTGCAGGAACAGCCATAGCATTTTTTTGGTAGTACATGGCAGTGAAAGGGCCATCGAAAGTGCCACTATTAGTTAGATTCTGCTGTCACCGGAAGTGCCACTACCACATGCCTCTGTCACAAACTGAGCTCGGCCCTGCTGCTTAAGAGTACAAACTCTCTAATAAAGTCATGAACACAATCCACTGAAATCAATATTGCTCTATGTTTATTCATTGAATTATTTTATTTTATCCTTTTTATGTGGGGTGGAGTCCTGCAACTTTTAGACAACATCTTAAAGTCCAGGTGATATTATATATAATTATGCTCCTGATCCAACACACTTGCTTTGAAAATGGCTGAATTACCTCTGCAGAAATCAGTCAAGTTCTCCAGAGTCAAGCTAATGAGCTAATTATTTCATTCGGGTGTGCTACAGCAAAGACACAGCTAAGAGTTGCAGCACAACGAACTTTAACGACTGGATCTTTACACATGTGCTGTAGATAAATGTTGAACGAAGACTTCTCATTTAGATATTTTGTTTTATTTATTTCCCAACATCATGGCTCCTTAAACTGCGTGTCTGGGTTAAAGAAATAATCACATAGTCAAATATGTACATTGGAGCAGTTTAAAATTAAGCATGTGGGTCACCTAAACCATCAGGGGTCTGCCAGCTTTCCTGTTCAATATTCATCTGGAAGATTAATCCTGAAATCCTTCGTCTTTACTTTGGAATGGTGTCGATCTCCAGCAGTCATTGCCTGAGAGGAAGATCCTATTTAGCACAGTAATACAAGCTTAATGGAAATTATCTTTAAAAATTGTTCCAATTTGTTATGCTACTTTTTTTTAAATCACATATACTTATTGACTATGACTATACATTATCTGCTTCAATTCAATCGGATACAAAACCTTAAATTTGTGATAGAAATTGATTTAAATATAAATGTTTAATTTCACCTAAGTATTTTCTTTATATAATTCATTTTAGGTCATTTCTAATTTTACTTCCTTAAAACACCATGATATGAACATTGCTTTATATCTTTTTTTGTTCTTTTCACAAATTAAATTAGAGATTATCATCAAATAAGTACACTGCACTGGAGTAGCTTTAAGACTAAACGATTTTATTCAGCCTTGATTAATTTTTGATTAACTATGCTCGGTTTCTACTGCTTCTCTTGCTTAAGTACAGTTTCTGGTAAACAAAAAAACAACAACATAAGTTTAAAAGTCAACAATAAGGAATAATTTAGCAGCTTGTTGGCTGAGGTAAAATTAGAGCCCAAATAGTGTGAGCCCTGACACACTGATGAATGTAGTGCCTGCCGGGTAAGTGGAGGGATACGAAGCTTGGTACTGTCTGTGGCTACCTGCTAATGCTTGGGGTTGGGATACTTTTATCAAAAATAAGGCATGACCCGGGGAAGCTTAGCGTCAGCTTTTAAGTTTGAATAACAAAAAGTACAACCATGGCATCGATACCAAATTAGGATACTAACTGCTTGTTTATAGTAGCTTTAACTGTAAAAAACAAAGAAAAAACAAAAGAAGAGAATTATTGTTGAAAGTTAAGGATGTTATAGGATGTTATAACTATAGTCAATATATTTCAGTGCAAAATCTAAAACTTTCTTCATAAGATACACTGGAAAATTTGAATATAATAAAATAATTAAAATAAATAATTAAAAGAGATTCATAAGGAGTAAACTGAAGAACAATGTTTTTACTGAAGAAGCTGGTTGTTCAGAGAGTGCTGTAGCATATTCAATGAAAGTTGAGCAGAAGGAAAAAAATGTGTAAACATTTTCATACTCAACTCAATTAAAAATACTTTATTTATCCTAAAGGAAAATTAAATGTCGAAACTTTTTTTTTTTTCCATTGAGCTGTTGTAGATGTTTGAAGATGTCGGCAGGAAATAACTTCTGTTGAGCTCTGAAGACACTCTGCTGGTCTTTAACAGTCTGAGAATGGTCAGGGTTTTCCATGACATTCTTTATTTTATCAAGAATAAGCCTTTGAAAAATTATCTGAGGTTCAGGAGAAGTTCCCAGAACATAGCCAGCCTTATTTATCAGCCTGTAATAAGCTACTGTATATAAGCAACATGGATCACATCATCAGTGAGAGGATGGAGAGCCAACACTCTTTGAATTTAGGATTGTTTTACAAGGAGTGGACTGAGAGGAAGGAGGACTGCAGCTACAAACAGACACATTCTACACATGTGCTAGAAGTTGACCTGGCCTAAAGAGTCAGTGTTTTCTGAAGTCCACAGTCAACACATCTATTTACCTAAAAACTTTAGAGCACTCCATACTTGATTTGGCTAACAAGCCTTATGGAGATGCTAATTTCACTTCCCCGGACGACTTGGCCAACACTATCTCCCTTTCCATTACGAATGTGCATAAAATTATGTCGATCTTCTGTTAAATTTGAAAATACATATAATACATTAAAATTTGCAATATTTTCATTAATAATAAATACTATTACACTTGCTTATAAATAAGTTTGTTCATGTGAGAAGTCTGAAAACAACAATGCAGCAGCAGATATATCCATATTACAGCCACTGCTGTAGAGGGGGCCATCATCTTCTCACTACTTCCAGTAGTTTTTTTTTTTCCAGAAATTGCAGTGTTTCCATTTAGCAAATGTATTTTTTGAATTGCAATTTGGGCAATTTGATGGTTCATGGAGTCACAGCTAATGCCAAATCTACCAAAAGCTGGTTGGATGACTATGGGGTACCTGTGCTTCTCCATCAGACTCAAAAAAGTCCAGAAGTATTATACTTAAGACAAA